CAGGCCCTTAACGCTTGCCGAGGAAGCACTTATTCCACTGAGCCATCTCCCCGGCCCTGTCATGAGGCCTTTTACCCGCTGTATGGTTCATGTTGGCCTGAGCTCTTGGCAACCCTCCTGCCTCAGCCACCTGAGTGTGGGAGTATGGGTTTGTGCCACCACATCGATTTCACGCAGGTTTTTGTTTGCTTTGTTTACTTTTTTAAATTTTATTTTATTGTGGTACTGGGGATCGAACCCAGGGCCTTGTACACGCTAGGCAAGCACTCTCCCGGTGAGCTACACCCTCAGCTGTTTATTTTATTTTCGAGACAGGGTCTTGCTATGCAGCTCCGGCTGTCCCTGAGCTCATTTTGTAGCTGGTCTCGAACTCGCAGTGATCTTCCTGCTTCAGTGCTGGAACTACGGCGTGTGCCACCACACCTGTGCGTTGATGTTTTCTAAGAAAGCTTAGACTATGAAGCCAAGCAGCACTAGGAGTCCCTTGTCCTGAGAGCAGACGCCCAACGTCGAGCTACTAACAATGGACACTGCTACACCCACGGGTGTCACTTCATCCATGGCCCCTAATTTAAAAGGTATTTTGTGTTTGCAAAAGATTTGGCCATGTTAGTGAAAAGGAGCAAATATTTGAGGGAGAAAATAACAGAAAGATGAGTACAGGACTTTTTAAAAAGTAGCGTTCACTTCTGCTCTGATGAATGGGTAGCTTTACTTTCAAATGAACAATTCATTTGCAAGAAATATGTGTACTATGTGATACGATGCCACATTTATGAAAGCATTTGTCTTTATTGTAAAGAAAATTCCACAGACAGGCGTGGTGATGCACACCCATAATCCCAGCGCTGAGGAGGCTGAGGCGGAAGGATCACTGAGAGCACAGAGCTGGCCTCCCTTCCACAGTCAGTTCAAGGCCAGCGGGAATTACATATGGACACCTTGTCTGAATAAGCCAAAGTAATAATAAAGCCGGGCGTGGCAGTGCACACCTGTAATCCCAGTACTTGGGAGGCTGAGGCAGGAGGATCATTGTGAGTTCAAGACCAACCTGGGCTACAAAGTGAGCGCAAGGCCAGCCTGAACTGCACAGTGAGACTGTCTCAAAAAGACAAAATAAGTAAATGATGAAAAAAACCTTGAAGCCCCTGCTGTTATTGCAATAATAGCTTAACTACTACAAAGTGTTTTGTTGCACTGGGGCTTAAACTCAGGTTCTTCTCAGAGAGCTGAATTCCTGGCCTTTTTTTTTTTTTTTTTTTTTTTAATTGTCTTGGAACTCACAACAATCCTCCTACCTCAGCCTGTTAAGTGCTGGGATTACAGGCATGCGCCACTATGCCTAGCCCATCTCCAGCCTTTTTTATTTTGAGACCAGGTCTCACTAAGTCCTTGAGTTCCCCAGACTGGGCTTCCATTTGTGATTCTCCTGCCTCAGTCTCCCTTCCAGAGGGCCGGGATGCCAGGCTGATGCTGTGACGCCTGGCAACTACTGTAAATTTAACCGTTTATTTTTATTTATTTATTTATTTTTTTGGTGGAACCGGGGATTGAACTCAGGCCCTTGCACTTGCCAGGGAAGTGCTTATTCCACTGTGCCATCTCCCCGGCCCCTTAACCCATTTTATTCCAGGTTTCCAGAGAAGCAAAGAGCTGTGTTTCCTGAGGCCTGGGAAGGCTGGAGAGTGGGCCCTGCAGGAAGCTGCAGTTTCCAGCACGGGTTGGGGAGGTGCAGAATCGTTTTCCCACAGGCATCCCAGCCTGGGCCCTAAGGAGTCCATCATGGCTTCGCTTTCCCACTTTTAGCCTGTCCCTCATCCACCCCACTTAATTTCCTAATCACAATCCTATTGGTTATGCTTTTCACCCTGATGGCTCCTGGAACCCGCTGCAGACACCATTAGAGCTGGGTTTATGGTATTAATGTGAGTGCAGGGAGAGTGAGATTGAACCAGCTCTCTCTCTCTCTTTTTTTCTTTCCTTTTTTTCTCAGTGCTGAAGACTGAACCCAGAGATTAGGTTCAACGAGCTGTACCCCTGACTCTTCCTTATTATTATTATTATTTTTTTAATTTTGAGACAAGGTCTTGCCACGTCACTAAGTTGCCCATGATGGGTTTGAATTTGAGATCCTCCTGCTTCAGCCTCTTAAGGGCTGGGATTATAGGTGTGCACCACCCTGTCTGGCTACAAGGTTTATTTTAAGTAAGTAAAAGCAAATCCCCGAAACAAGGCAGCATTCTTGAGCAATAAGGCATTAGAGGATTGTTCCTTTTGGTCAGCAAGCCGGATCATGCTTGTTTCCATAGCAACTGAGGATTTACCATCATTATTTTATACTTTTCTAAATTCCAGCATAGCATTCACATCTTGCCCCTAAATATTTATACACAGGACACCTTGTTAGGGCAAACTCTTTTTTTCTTTTCCTTTTCCCTTTTTTTTTTTTTGATTTGTCAATTTTATGGAAACCTGAGAGACCCAAACAGACTCAGATTTCTAGGTAAAAGCAAATAACCATTTCCTCCTTCTCCACCCAGGGGTTGGTCACAGCTGGGGATTTTTGTTAAGAGTAGAGAGATTTGGCCATGTGTGCATGTTCTGAACACAAAAATGCAGTGATTCATAAGCTTTGGGTTCAATATTTAAGTTATAGGGTGAAAAACAAGTGATTTGGTAAACATAGAAAGTGCCCTGAACTAGGAAATCTCCCAGGTGAGTGGCACCACCAGGTGACAGCTATTCTCGGGGGCTGACAGTTGGTTATGTCCTGGGTAGAATCGTATGTCAAGACAGCCCAGCAGGCCTGCAAGTGGACCCGAGCTCCCCCTCTGCCTGCTCAGGTGGTCCTGGGCATCTGGGCTCAGCCCTCCACAAAAGGAAGGACTGAGTCTTGGGCCGATGAGGGTCCCAGGGGTCTGGAGGCCCTGGCGTGGGGCTATGACCTGCATCCCCGCTTTGCCTGAGCCTCAGGTCCCTCGGTACCAGGGTTCCCAAGAATCAGGACCCCATCCTTGATCTGAGGCTTGGAGGACTCTGGTGGATGCATCTTCCTGTGTCCCAGTTGATGCCTTCTCATTCCTCCCTGCGTGGTCATCATGAGGAGGTCTCCACAGGATCCCACGGGCAGCCTGGAAGCTGCTTTGTTTTGAATTTGTTTCTCTCCCTGGAGAGAAAGGAAATCAGAATTTGTTTTTGAAATGATACAGAATTTCATTAAACATAGGGGCCAGGGAGATGGCTCAGGAAGATAAGCACTTGACTGGCAAACGCAAGGATCTGAGTTCAATCCCCGGTTCCGCAAAAAAAAAAAAAAAGCAAAATCCAGAATTTCATTAAAGAAATTGATAGGAATCTAACAATGATTACTAAACATAAATAAAAACAAACAACCCCCCCAATGATTGTTACATTGTGTATTGTTGTCTTCATATTAGTTGTTTGGATTAGAAAATTGAAAATTTTGAAAATTTATGGTAAGACATGCTGCCCGGCCCCTTCCGAGCACTGCCTCTCACCTGGGTGGGACCTTCATCCTGCGGGTCCACGCCACCCAGCGAGCTCCTGGAGTGGCTCTCTCGCGAGCATATGGTAGGGCCACTGTGGCTGCCCAGATGTCCTGCATTGATGGAAAATGTTCCCCTTTCAGAGTCATGTTGATGTTGGAGGGAGCTGGGGTCGCAGGGCCTGGATCCGGTCAGAAGGTGGGTGAGGGTGCAGTGCCGCGTTTCCATGAGGTGCTTGCACAGTTATTTCTGATGCCGTCTGGGAAAGGTGAAAGAGCACGTCCAGAACTGCTTCAGACAGTGGCTAGGAGGACGGGCTAGAGCGTTAGAGGGCAGGACAAGTACTCTGAGAGGGATTCATGGCAGTGTGTCTTTTGCTCTCTCACCTATTTGGTTGTGCAAAAAGGTCTTGTGGTGTAGTTCAGGCTGGCCTTCGGTTCACCATTGGCTGTGATCCTCCTGCCTCAGCCTCCCGAGTGCTGGGATGACAGGCATGAGCCTCTGCGCCTGGCTTCCTTCTTACTTTTGGTGGACGCCAATCCCAATTCTCCTTCTTCATTTCAGGAAGCTGGTCTTGAGACTTTTTAAAATCTGTTCTTCAATCGTAGAACATGGAAACAGGAGGCTGGAGGTGTGGCTCAGAGGCACAGCACTTGCGTGGCGTGTGAGGCCTTGGGTTCAATCCCCAGCTCCTTTGGCCCCCCCAGTGCACACAAGATGATGGTGAGAACTGCTGTGTGAGAATGAGGTGAGGTGGTGCACATCTGGAGTCCCAGCACTCAGGAGGCTGAGGCAGGAGGACCACACTAAGGCTGAGGCCAGCCTGAATTGCATAGTGAGACCCTGTGTCCTAACAACAGAGAAAGGGAACAACTATGCCCTGGATGTGGCTGTAGGCTAAGGGTGGGATGGACCCTGAGACAGTGTCTTAGCCTGTCTTCCTGAGGTTGCTTGACTTGGGGCCTGGTGGCCCAGGCGCTGGCTGTTGGCACCTGGTGAGGCCTCCCTGTGGCTTGGCACTTGGAGGACCCCAGTCTTACAGGGTGATGTGGCTGGGCTCAGGCTGGGTGTCGCCAGGCTGAGGAACAGTGAGACGCACATGCTGCTGCTGTGCAGTCAGAGGCTGCTGCTGTGCAGTCACATGCTGCTG